CAATGGACATGCGTATAAGAAGAGCGAAGGGCAGGAAGCTATTAAGCGCAACGAGTCCATCTCGTACATAGCAATGAGAAGGTAAAATTTACGAGCTTGCGATGACACAAAGTATATAGGCAACAAATTGTCTCTTGCGCGGAGGCCAGCGCTGCTGTCCCGCTGCACTAATTTTAGGAAGCTTTACTGCCGCGGTCGGTCGGTCGGTCGCTCGCTCGCTTGCCCGCTCGCCCGCCCGTCCGCCTGCCAGAGTGCCATTTCGTCATTTCGTTTTTCACGTGCGAGAGCCACGCCGAGCTTTGACGCTGTACCGGCGCTGCAGCCGCGAGCTTTTGACCAAGTTTAACTTTAGTGTTTCGCGCCGTTGCGTTTTCCAACTTTTCGCCCAGCGCGACGCCAGCCTGCAGAAACGGACACATTGTGCCGGGCTGAGAGCTCCTGTCGCCACGCGGAATTGTTGTCCGCGGGGCTTGTCAAAGCTCGCCTTTGATGGCCGCCAAGTCCAAGTTGCCACGAGTTTTAGCGCTGACGCGCGCATTGTTCACCGCGATTTTCGCCCTTCCCCCCTCCCGACCGTGCAACGGCGCGATCTTCGGAATACCGTCGGGCAAAATCATCCTCGGCGCGCGTCCTGTCGGCAAGGCGCGAGGATCTAAATAAAGCGGACGTGATCGGACTGGATCGATCTGAGGAAAGGGCGGCGCGCGCGCGTACGGTGTGTAGCAAGACAAGAGGGGAACGCGGGGAGAGCTTGCGAGAAAAGCGCGCGCGCGGAGAGTATAAATTTCCGCGAGCGGAGCGCGCGGCGCAACTGCAGCGTCCAGACACATTCACCGCTGCAAAATGTCGCGTGACGAACGCTCTCTTCTTTTTTTCTTCTTCTCCGGCTGCCTTGCCTTGAGGAATCCACGTACGCGTCATAAATATTACTCGGGCGGCCCTCATTCCGTTCGTGCGCCATTGACGTTTTCCAATATTCCCCGGCTGCACTGATTCCATCTAGACTACTCCTTCCTCCCTCCTTGCCGAAGCGATTCTTTTTCTCCTCGTCTCTCTCTCTCTCTGTTCCTTCTCCTTCTTCTTTATATCAGTCATTCTCTCTCGCGCGAACGCGCGCTGCTGCTACTGCTGCCGCTGCTGCTCCCTACCTCTTTTCATCGTCGATCACGGCGACGCTACGTGCGGCAAAATTGCTGGCTTCGGGTAATGAAGGAGCTTTTATGAGTTTTCTTTTCATTTCTCGTGCGCGTTTTTTCGCCGGCCGTTATACCCCCGCCACGGCTTCTCTCTCTCTCTCTCTCTCTCTCCCACTCTTTCCATTTCATCTTTTTCTCGCTCTCTTTTTTATTGGAGTTTGACAGATTAATATTTTTTTTATTATACTTTCCAGATGCACGACGTCAAATATAGCATTTCCCGTAGGTTCACGCTCATTCAGGATATTTTTACAAGCACGCTTCACTGCAACCAAATCTGATTCATCATCGAAAAAAGAAACGACGATGGCGCGCGAACAAACAGATAGGAAGTAAAAAAGCAGGCAATCCGTGCGAGCAGCACCTTCTTTGCTCGTTCCTCCACGTCCAGCCAATGCAATTATCATAATCGCCGCGAGAGAACTGCGCTTTTGCTCGTCTCTCGAGCAACACAATCAGCGTAATTGCGCTCGGGCGTTAATTGCCCTTTCCTAAAATTTTTGTCTACGACGACGACGCTCTCTCTCTCTCTTTCTCTCGCCGCCGAGCGCTGCGCGTATTCGAGCCAGAGGCAAAACAACGTCGTCTGCGAGAATCGGCGCCAAACGCTCTCGAGACTGCTTTACGAGCATGCGCCGTTGCGAGTGAACGACTGTTTGCGTGTGTCTGTGTGTGCGTCGACCTTTAGCCGCCGCCACCAAGCCAACCCTGACCTGATTTATGGGATTCTGGAAGCGTCTACTAGCTACCCCTGAGTTTGCCTTTTCCACGGATTTTCCCTCAGACAGCTGGCTAGTGTTTTCGATGACGACGCGTCGCTCTACTGCGCACTCGACTCTACTGCCCCTCGCCACCTTCAACTCTATAACTCGCTTTGGGGGATGTAGCGCGTGTCGCGAGATTATTAGTCATTTTTCGGTGATGATCTCTGACAAATTTGTCTATGTGTGTCTGTACACCAGAAGAGAGGGACCTCGTAAAGGTCTCTTATTTCTTTGTAGATTTTCTCTCTCTTTCGATTGAGCCATTTTTTTAGACATTGACGCGAGCGCTTAGTCATCCAATATATTTGTAAACCAATGAAATTCCGTACTTTTCCTGGTGATACTGTCCAGTCGTATCCGCGCACGTTAAGGGCCTTACATCTCCGATTACGTGACAAGACTCAAGTTCGTCAGCTGTGCGGCAGTTGTACGACGGTTGCTGTACGGAAAATTATGCTTTAGGGCGTTTTTGAGTCCTTCCACCCGGTTAATTACGACGAGCGAGTAAGGGCAGACAGGAGAATAAGTGTTTTATTGGCTTTTTTTTATGAATGGAATCATGTCGGATCGGGCTGTAAATAATAGTGATTTACTTTCCACAATCATTTGGGCTGATGCTTTATGTACTCTTCACGGAAATTTGTTGTTCAATAATTGGAACTTTCCTGGACGAGAGGCGAGAAAAGAAAGGAGTTGATGTTTGTAAATCATTGAAATATGACAAGTTAAATATTCGGCTGGTTTAAAAATAAACAATTATTCTGCTGGTCGTTCTTAAAAAAATCGGCTATTTCTGAAGCCTACCACTCGTAGTCCACGCCCGCGTGTGTCCATCAGTTATAATTACTAATAATAAAAAGTAATCTCGCTCGCTCGCTACGAAATAAATCTCGCGGAAGAAAAGCTCTTCAAGCGTCAAATCGTAAAACTGTCGCTAATAAATCTCTTTAAAAAAATTTCTCTCTCTCTCTCTCTCTCTCTCTCTCTCCCTCTCTCTCTCTCTTCTTTTTGAGAGAGAAAAGAGAAGGAACGAAGAAAGACGGGGAGCCGTGCACAGAGGCAGTAGGGAGTACAATGAAAAGGAGCCACTAAATCAGCGTGTCAAGCGCGCGACTTTCTCACTCATCGCGATTTACATACACACGCTTGCATCACCTTGGGAGGAGATCAATTTGTTGTTTTTCCCTTTAGCTGAAAATTTCTCTCCGGGAAAAGGGCACGAAAGCTACAAAAGGAAAGCTGCCGAGTGATTTGTGTCGTTTGCCATTCTTTCGACCGCCTAGATACCCTGCGCTTTCGGTCGGTCGGTGTGTGTTATATATATACGTAGTAGTCCTGCATCTGCTCTGAGCTGACGCAACGTACCGCCATAGATCACCGCTGGGGCTTTTAGAGACTGAAGGCTGTTAAGAGCGCGGGGGCGCCGCCGCCGTCTGACGTACTGTGTTCAACTTGGCTTCTTTATCGCGAGCGGAGCCGTAAAAAAAAGAAAAAAAAACGAAAACGAAGAAGAAGAAGAAGAAGAAGGACGGAGGATGGACGTTAATGTTTATACGGATAAGGCTACCCGATAACGCCTGATTATTACGGAATTACGACTCGAGGCTTCGTTTCGTTTTTTTCTCTTGCTTCTTTACGCGCTTAGGTATTTTCGGGGTTCGTTCGCAGAAACTGTCCGCCGTACGTCAGACTGAGTTATGGCACGTCGCGCACCCGAAGATGTGTTCGTTCAAGTTCCCGTGAGGATCCTCGCTAATCAAACCGCCTCTTTTACGAGCCAAGCTCGCGGCGGCGGGCTAACAAAACAACCTTGTATTTTCGCAAATTTATTCATTTCAAGTTAAAACATCACGTCTCTACCGTTGATTTTACAGCCCCATTTAAGTATATGCGTTAAGAAACAAAGATCATTCGCTAGATAAAGCAATTCGTTTTTATCGAGCAATATCCCCGTCACTGCATCCCTCAATTTTTTCTCTTTCTCTCTCTCTCTCTCTCTCCTGCTCTCGCAGGTCGAATAATGACCGTAGTAAAGTAAGGCACTCTCGTACACATAAAGCGGCGGCGGTGGCGCGGGGAAAACTTAATACCATGAATCTCACGCGGGTAACTTCTATAAAGAAGCTCCAAAAAGAGAGAGAGAGAGAGAGAACGAAAAAAAACAACGGAAAACTGTTCATCCCCCTCCTATGATATAAAGTAAAGTATACGATGGCGCATACGCGCTGGCAGGCGTGAGGTATCGACGAGCAAGACGCGCGAGCTGCATGCGTGTGTGCGTTAGGGGTGACGAGTCGTAGAATTAGAGAAGGGAGAAAGAGAGCGCGCGCGAATTAAAACGCCTCATAAATATCTGAAACAAAGGCGAGGGCGTGCGTACGCGCGTGCATAGCGAGATATACGGCCGACGCGCTCTCCCGTGGAAAGGCGCGCAATGTCCCTTTTCCTCCACTCCGCTCCCCCGGCCCGTGTTCTTTCTTCTTTTTCGCTCGTTCTCTCTCGCGGAAATCCCCCGCGACATTGTGACGCTGTCCGGTGTGGCCTTGAATTAATTAAAAAATGCATCGATCTCTCTCTCTCTCTCTCTCTCTCTCCACGCGAAAGTCGCCGACTCCGCGAGTGATTTACTCGATTAAATGTGCTCCCGATGAAAAGGAGAGCTCCTTTCTATTTAGATAGGCGGAGGACTCGCGCTCTCGAATAAACGATTAGCGCGTAAAATTGGTTCCGACCAAAGTCTGATGGTTTTTCGCGCGAACCTAGATTTGCCGAGCTACGCACAGATAGTCTATGTTACGTTGTTACTTTACCTGACGAGGTTTGATTGGAAATTGAGCGAATGAAAATCAATGCGCTTGTCTAGACGCTGCATTAGAGTTACACCGATGCACTACTTTGCGATAACTCAATAAACGCCTATCGCCAGGCGCGAGCATACGAGTCGATAAACATTTTACGAAAGAAGAATAATTCGATCAAGGTACACAGAATGTTCGTGAATGCAAGTGAGTAAAGCATGATGTGTTTTGTATTGTTTCAGGTAAGTAGTGGTGTCCGCTAGAAAAAATAAAAGAAGGGCGCACGACACGTACGCGATCTCACCTACGGCTTCTCTCGAAATCTGCGGCTGTGTGGGGCGGGTGTGGTGCGGTGGGCCCACCCCGGCACCGCCTGCGCCGCCGGTGCGCGTCGCCGGACGGCAGATATGCGCAGCAAGCAGCAGCCCAGGCCTTCCTTCCGTTGGCCGCAGCAGCGCGGCGATAACATTCCCGGTACGATTCTTATTCTTCTTTCTCTTCTACTTTTTTTTTTGTACGCATTTCTTAATGCACCGCTCGCTCGCACAGTGTGCTCTTGTTTATTTGTCTTCTTGCATGGGTAACTTTTTCAATTCTCCGTCTACGTACAATTCATCACTTTAATTATGAAAGTGCTTCATAATGTGTGCCGCGGGCACACGATTAGTGATATGCTAGGATTCGAATCGCGTGCGAACCGCTTGTTGTCTTTTTTTTTTCCATTTCTCTCTGTCGTCTATTAAATTTCACGGTAGCGGCAATTAGCGACTAGTCTCTCGTGGATAATCTTTGAACTATGATCGCTTATTAGCTTTGTTTTGCGCTTGTGCACGTTTAATTGAATTTATCTCGCATGATACTACTGCGCGAACGGCAAAGAGCGGCGAGCTCGTCATTATGTTATTGTAAAAGCTCCCGCTCCAAGTTGAGTTTTTCGAAGGGACGGGGGGGGGGGGGGGATATTAAAAGCGTGCGCAAAGCCAGCTGCTCCGGGATACACACAATAATTATTGACAGTGTATCGATAAGCTTGAGCATAACGCGCGCGTATTCTCTGTGTGTTTAATTGACAGTGGAAAGATCGCATACAAAAGTGTTTATCTGATACACAAAAGCGATAACCCATTTCGCGAATGTCAGTCAGATCCTTTGCGTTGTATACGTATGCCTTCCTTTTTTCGCTGTTGTTCTTTTCAATCCGGCTTCGTCAATTATTCCCGCGTGCGGTATATGTGCTTTTATTGACCTCTGACAAACGTACACGCTTGATTTACAATAAACTGATTAACATCCTTGCGAGCGCAAGCATGGAAAAATAAAATCTTTCGAGAAAAGGATTCGCCGCAGTAAAATCACTTCGCCGCTTATTTATTTTTTTTTTTTTGCGACCGTCGTTCATTAGCCGCAATTATACCGAGCTCGGTTCATCGTACGCACCGCTCGATGTATAAGAATTCGTCGCTGCACCATATACACTGGCCTAATATCGCGCGCGTCGTGCAATTTAATCCGAAAGAGCCCACGATAAATTCTTCCGTCCGATGGATCCCAAAATCCTCAATTTCGTTCTGAATTACAGTATACGAGCTCTCTCTCTCTCTCTCTTTCTCACTCGATGACTCACTCTACTCGCTGTAAATCGCTTGTTTATGCCGCACGGTCGCGTGTAAAACTTTCCTGCATAATTTTATACAGCACCATTCACGAGAGACAAAAAAATATACCATCGAATCGGAATGCGATTGATTCACATTGATTAATAGCTATAGCGAGTTTCATTATTTTCGATGACTAAGTTTATTCTAGCAAAACAGTTTAATCGTTATGAAATTGGCGTTTCATTATACTTCGTAAAAAAAAAAAAAAAAAAAAAATTGTATCAACTTTTACGAGATCTCGATCGCGATTGGCAGACCGGTACATAAACTCTTTTCATCCCTCAAACAATCGGCCCCCATCTCAGAATTGTTTAATCGATTATCCTTCGAAACGTGAGATTTCAGCAGAGCGAAGCGTTTGCTCTTAATTTTTCTCGATGCATAACAGTTTTCTTATCGGCAAGTAGCTTTGTGTTTATGCCGTTACTCGCGCACAAACGCACAGCGTGCAAAAAAGCAGTCGTTCTAAGTCAATCAACTTGCGGTCGGCTTCGCTCTTTCTATTCGCTTCGTTCTCGGGCTTTCTCCCCGCTGCAAGGTGCAACGTTGCCTGCCGCCTGTGGGCTTTAATCTCGTTTCCAGCTGAAAAGCAACGCTTGCACATTCCTCTAGCTGAAAACCGCAATGGTGCGCCGGTGCGTTATGCAAAACCATTGGAAATAACATTGTCAATTATTTTTCTTATTCCTTCTCGTGAGCGCCTGTCGACTGGCATTATGACTTCAATTTCAATTCTTCGTTTGCGCGGAATCGAGACTCTACCGGTGAATATAGCGAGATGAAGAATCGAGCGATTGGATATCCCACGGATGACTCACGGCGATTGAGAATTTGGCTATCTTGGAAGTGTCGCGACCGGCAAAACAGAAGCCGACAGGCGCGTGCGTGCAGGTGTGCGAGCGCATACGCAGCTATTAATAGTCGCTGATGTGTCGCCGTCGAACGAAAGCGATATTAGCGCGCTTGAAATGGACCTCCCACGCGCGCCGTCTGCTTCTTTCTCTTCTTTAAAAGCCGCGCTCGTGGATGTGTTGCGCTACGTACGGTGTAGGGCGCGCGACAGGTCGTTGATCTATTTTCGTTTTGACACGAGCTTCTCTTCCTTTTCCATTGATAATATCGGATCTCCGTTATTTATTTTGCGCTGATTGAGCAGTCACTTGCTCTTTCTCGCTATGTAACAAGGTCGTCAAGACGTGATACATGCGGGGTGCAGAAGGGGAAAAAGAGATCTCTGCGCGCCCTCACAAAGAGGAGAGAATACTCGTTTAAATATCTGTCGATATACCAGCCTGCTCGCACTTGTGTATCCCTGGCTCCCCTTTTTTTTATTTCTTCTTGTAAAACCTGATTGTCGTTCAGCTGGATGCCTTCTCCCTTGCTGGATTAATAATTGGAAATTGGATTTCGTCGTTCCTCTTCAGACGAGCGAAGTATATTCGCGCGAGAGGCAGCCGTTCAGCGACAAGCAAAAAGTCGTCAGTCTCTCGATCTCTGACAAAACCTACGTTTCTCCTTCTTCTTTGCTTTTTTATCATCGAGAAATTGTTGCTAATGAGACTCGTAAATTTCACTTTTACGATTATCATAAAATGCTTTTTTACTAGCCATTTTCACCAGTCCGCCTGTCCGCGAAATGTGATTATGAAGCCGAGTTTTATATTGTTCGCCCAGAAAACGTGCAAATATGCGTTTCACCCGCAAATATTTGAAAACTGCACAGGGAAAGAAATAAAAGCAAGCGGTGGGTCGATCAAGCGACTGAGTGAGAGGGGACCAGCGGAAAAAATAAAATTCTGGCGGAACTTTGTATTTAAAAAAAGCTCGCCCGCGTAATAATAAAAATTCAAGTCTGCGTGAGGCTTTACGATTGTCGTAAAGGGTGGGCTACGACTTCTCGTTACTTCCTCCTTTTTTTTTTCGTCGTCGGCGTCCGAAAAAAGTGCGCCGAGGGAGAGAGGACACTTCGACTTTTCAGGCACAAAAAAGTGTGACTTCTCGCGTGGTGCATGCATTAGGAAGAGGAATGGGACGGTCTGCCTGTCGACTTGGCCGCGGTAATAAAAGAAGTTTTGGAATTCCACTCGTCGCCGGCTGGCAGCCGATTGAAGAGCGCGCGCGAATAACTTTCCTCGCCACTTTTTCTCTCTCTCTCTCTCTCTCTCTCTCTCTCTCTCTCTCTCTCTCTCTCTCTCTCTCTCTCTCTCTCTCTCTCTCTCTCTCTCTCTGACTGCCTACACCGGCCGCTGCCGAGAGCCGCTTCAAATAAAACATTACGAGCATTTTTTCCCACACGCTCCTCGGACTTTTAACAACTCGGAGATTCGCCCTGCGATGCCTGATCAATTTCATCAGCAAATATACGGCTCTATAAAATTGAGAGGTGGACCACGCAACTGTTTCTTTTTATGGCGGCATTAAGATTTTCACCAACGACACATGCACCTTTTACTTTGCTTCGTGTTTTTTCTTATAGTTAATTATTTGAATTTATCGTTCATACCTGATTTTTTATACTCGCAAGCGTTTGATAACGCGAAAAAATATTGGGTATGAGACTGAGGGGAAATAAAAAACAATTCCGCTAGAAAAATTGTCAACATGAGTGGAAACACGGCAGACTTAATCTTTAAAAAAACACGCGAACAGACAAAAAAACATGAATCCACTGAAAATCAGAATACGAGTAAACTCGACGCAAAAAAAGAAGCTTCGAAGAGAGCGAGAACAGCACAGGGAAATAAAAGAGGACGCAAAAGAAAAAAAAAAGAAAAAAAAAACATGCCAGCGACAACGCGCAGCAGACGAACAAATGAGATCAAGTGTTCTTGCGACAAGACAGCAGCAGCAGCAGCAGCAGCAGCAGCAGAGTGAGCCTAAGCAGAAATTAGGCGAAAGCTCGGCGGCTGCATGGCTTGGTAATGAAAGAGAAAGAAAAGCTATGCTGCAGAGATAGCAAACCATCCCCCCTTGTGCAACGTTCGTTGCCTCGCGGGGCTCCCCGACTGTCGGGCTGCGAGTTGCGCGCGCGAGCGGCATTTTAATCCGGCGACGTCACTCTCGTCGTCCCCGAAAATTTGGCCCAACACAAAAGAGTACAACGCTGCTCGCTGCCACTTTGTTATACGTGCGTATACATACTGCACGCTAATTAGGCCGCCGAGCGTTATTACCCTGTATGCCAGAGCGCGATTACTTTTTTTTCCGTTTGCTCCTTTTTTCGGGTAGAGACGGATTTGCGGTTTGTTTTTGCGCAATTCGCGAGTGAGAGAGAGAGAGAGAGAAAGAGAGAGGTGCGTTGCAATTCATCAGCCGAGATAATTAGGTGTGTGCGAGCTGCCCACTCGCCGATATAAACTCGAAAAATGCACGATTGCCGGACGAGCGAGGACGAACAAGATGAAAGAAACGAAAGTGACGTTGAGAAAAAGAAGACTGCAGCGGCGCGAGAAAGCAGCTCAACGTCTGCAACTCGTCTTGTTTTCAGCTTGACAGCTGCTTTTCAAAATCCTCTTGTCTTGCGTCAAAACTATAATTCTAACGTATATATGCTCTTCCTTTGCAATACACACGCGCGCGCGCGCGCGCGTATTTTCAAAAATGTTAAACGCTTTCGTGGTGTACAATGCCTCAAGGGTTATACGTCGTGTGCGAAAATGAGCAACTGGTGCAAGGTCGCGCTCTCGCGATAAAGCGCACAAATGCCAGGAAACGTCAGTCGCTGTCTATCAATTGTGCAGTGCAAGCTAAAATTTATGCACCTCCTGAGTTTCTACGCTTACCTGTGTATATGCGAATATTCATCTCGAGGTTAAT